TCTTGCACCTGTTCCATAACAGACAGCCCTTTGACTATATGGGTTTCCCACCTACATACATATGAGCATTCCACTTTTTCACTCTGTTCAAACTGTTTCCAAGAAAATCAATTTAAGACTCATAATGTCTGTATTCCTTATAGAATTTATGTAAATAGCAAAAAAAACCCTATGCCAGATTATCAAACCATTGTGCTTTGCAGCTACAGATCAGTATTTGAATGTCCAAATGTATAAAATTAAGATATATAGATCCCAATTATTTTGTTACTCCTGTGAAATTTATATCATATTCTTAAATATGTTAGGTAAAGACAAGATGGGTCTAATTTAAAACTAATGGGGAAAATTATTGGTCTCTTGTAGTCAGACATTTTATTTTTAATGATCTGCTAGTGTGCTCTGAGCATAAACATTAATGTCAGATCTATTTTGATACTTATCTCATGAGTTTGTAATGGCTGTGGAGTTTTTACAGGTGTATTTAATGGCAAAATCTTATCTTGAACTGCATTTTAAAAGCTCAAGTGTAGTTTGATTTGCTGGGAATGGGAGGAGGGGAGGAATGCCATTCTTTCCTTGGGGAGACAGCAGTTTCCTTGTGCAGTATTAACTTGAAAGAATATGAGACGTATATGTTGCCAACAGGAGTGTGGACATACAGAGTTCTGAAAATAGTAAGTGTCAATAGGGAAGGATTGCAGGTGCCAGAAGAAAAATGTAAACTCTCAAGGGTACTATCTCTTTATTTTTGCCTTGTCCAATGCCAAGCCATATAGGTTGATGTTTAAAATTCAGGTTTTCCCTGAAAAGTGACCATACAAAAAAAAAAAAAAAAAAAGCCGTTTCTTCAGAACAGATTTTTTCCTGTGTGTATTTAGAATTGCATTTACTTGTTTCCATAACTGTATTTTAATATACTGTTTACACCTGTTAGACATATGCAGCCAAAAGTGATGTGAAGTAGAAACCAAAAATCAGCTTCTCGCTGGGGATGAGGCATGGAGCTGCCGTAACAGGACTGCTCTGCCCGAGGATTATAGGCAGCAGGACCTCTGTTCCCACTCTTCTTGAGAACACAGCAGCCATGCTCTGCAGCTCTTACCCCTCTGCAAAACACCAGCCTAGAAATCTCTAACAGGGGATTAAACCACTTAACCCTAGAAGGCAGCAAACTGAGCCAATTATTACTTTTTCTACCCTTGTTAGCCACCAAGGACAAGTGTTCGCTCTTTATAGCCATCTTTTCAAATGTTTGAAGACTATAGTCACATTTCCTGTGAGCTTCTCCTGTCTTATACAAAACACAGCTAGATCCTTCTGCCTTGTTTCCTGAGAGTCTTTTGGGGTTGGTATGTTTGTTTGCATGTGTCTTTAAACTCAATGATTCCTGTGGGCCTCAGATAAATTCTTACAAGAGTGGGTGGTCCAGTCCTGGCCACAGTACTCCAGAGGTGGACAGACTATTCCAGTTGAAGTCTTTCCAAAGATGTGCTTGCTGGAGTGCAAGGTTTTTGTATCTAAGATATTTTCTTATTTGCAAGTCCAGCAAATTGATGACATGATCTGGACCTTTATGATCTGGACCATTTTCTATAGTACTGCTTAGCCTCATTTTGTATTTGCGTTTTTGTCACTTCACTTTCTTGAATTTCATCTTCATTTCAAATCATTTCTCCAATCTATCAAAATAGTTTTGAGTTCCACTTCTGTCCTGCAAGGTATCTGCATCCTCTAGAGTGTGGTTTCATGTACTGACTTTTTATGTGAACTCCATTCTGCCTTCCAAATCATTAAACAAAGATACAGGAATTTGGAGAAAATGCCATAGTCTCAGTTGGCCTCATATTCCAGTTGCAGGATCTATTTTGGTTCAGCAATCACCATCACAGGCAAGTAGAAAGGCCTTATTTAGCTTGCAGACTCTTAATCATGTAAGTGTGTAAGGTGTAAAGAAGAACTCAGCTTGACTCTCAGATCACACGGTGAACATACGGGACTGTTAGATGGAGGGTGAAAAAGAACATCATTGTACTTAAAATCTGATTACTTTTGCCAAAGAAATCAGAGTCAGGAAAAAATATTGAAACCCTAGGATTCCTTTTACTTGGAGACCCTATTCAGAGTTGAGCCATGCTTCAAATTACAAATAATACCAGGGGTGGAGGGGATCAGAGGGAACAATGCCAGTTGTGGCAGAAGACGTTTTGCTGCTTGGGTAGCATGGCATCTTCACTTCTGACCCGACTTGCAGGTTATCTCTGCCCTCTTCTCTCCTGTGACCCATTCCTTAAGTTTATTTTAATACAAAATATTTTTAAAGTATTAATTTATTTTTTTTTGGTTATGTTTGGGCCATTATTTCAATGTTTGAGCATGTGAGTGCACTACGTGATAGAGAGGTTGCCATGGTAATTTCTCATTATTGTTGAATAGAAAAATAATTACTCTGGCAAAATCCCCCGTAACCTGTCAAAGCATAAGTTAAAGATGCCTGAGGGCAGCCTTGCCTTCACTATCCCCTTTTTTGGAAAAAAAAAAAAAAGGGGGTAATTTTTTTGGTTTGGTAACAACTGGATCCTTTTTCAGCTTGGCTGGGGACACCTCATTTGGTTTTGTTCACATTTGGCTGTGAGAGTAGTTGGGCCCACCTGTGACCAGGGTGGAGCAGAGAATTAATCAGCAGAGAACATCCAAGCTTGACAGGATTTATATATTCTATTAAGGGCTGGTTTTCTTTCTGGGGGTGGGGTGTTGCATTTTATGCTTTTCCTTCTTCCTGACATAAAATATGCACAAGCTTAAGATAAAGACCTTGGACAGTATTCAAACTGTGACAGAGTCTGGATATTTCATCTGTCCAGGGAGGGTATTCACAGTAATTCCATCTCCACATTTTCCTTGCCTTCAAGACTTCTTGGAAGTCAGGATGAGTGCAAATATCTGTGGTTTTGAGATGAGGCCCTGCACTTTCCCAGCTCTTCTCTGTCTTTCCCATTTGCATTTACATCCTGGTTATGTGATGCTCCCCTTTCTGTTGCTGTGTCATTAGATGCTGCATGAGTAGCTCCAGTGATACTCAACTATGGAGTTAGCAAAACTGAAAATGTGCTATATGATGTTGCTTAAATCCTTCCGGTCCCTCTTGCTTCCTTTTGACAAGTATGTCCAAAAGAATGCAGTTAAAGGGTGCTGCAGCCTCCTTTGCCAAGTGGCAGAGAGTGGTAACTTGTAACTACTTGTTGGCAGTCCACTCTTGTATGTGTTTGTAATGTAACCCACCAGGCTGTGCTGAGTGAAGGGTCCATGTGTAGAGGTGTGTTGAACACCTGTGTATATATTTCACACTTAGCATTGTGGCTACTTGGCTACTCAACATAGCAATGTTTGTACATGGTAAAACTCATCAGGTTTACACCAAGAAAGAAGAAAGAGCAGCAACTCTCTGTGACAACAGATTCCTAAGATATGGGGACAGTTTTGATAACAATTTGTGTGACTGAACCGTAGGGCCATGCAGTCCTGTTACTTCCACGTGGGATGAAGCTAGGCAAGGAAAGTGTATTACAGGCTCTGACCCAGCCAAAGGTCTCTCTGGGGCTTCTGGTAGGAACTTGATTGCTACAACCTGTCTTTACCATTTCTCCATTGGATGCTTGACAACAGTCAAAATTGTGAGGCAGGAAAAATGCCTTGCTGAGCAGTTAGGAGTGAAATCCAAAAGTAACATCATCAGGAAAAACAGGGGCAGAACTGAAAGCCCCAGATAGTTATTTCTTTGCACGTGTAGATAGAATGGCTATAATAGATGCATATTTGCTCTTAAATCTGCATTTTATCTCAGGGTTGTTTTTCTTCCTGTGAAGAGAAGGAATGTTTTCTGGCTTACATCTTTGCTGCTCAGGCATTAAGAGGTGCTCTGTGGTCACTGTGCTGAGTGAACCTAGACTTCCACGCCGGAAAGGCAACTGCCATGAGTGGGGTAGAGTGGCTCTGAGGAGTGTAACTTGGGGCATCTTCAGAAGTGTATTTCCAGCTTTGTTGCTGATCCTGCTGTGAGTTATTTAAGTCTCAGGGCCTCAAAGGAGCAGAAGAGACTGTACCAAACATTTCTAATCCAGCTGTTAAATATATCCATAGCTTTTGAATGAAACATTTGGTGGGATTTGTGTTGCCTGACTTCTGCAAAAACCCTTGCAAGCTGGACCACTTTCTCAGGTGCTAGACATAGAGATTTGGGTGACTGTTGTTGATCATCCAGGTCCGAAAATGCCTTGTTCAGTTGTCAAAACCAACAGTACACCTGTAGTGGTGTATTTATATATGCTTTACATTGCATACCATATTAATAATTGCAATGCTCCACTTACGTGTATTACTGTAAGTCAAAGTATACACAGGTCATCTAAAAATAATGTTTTCACTTCATGTATCACACTTTAAAGATTTCTCACAACAATTACATATAAGTAACTAGCTGGTATTTAATTAACCTGCTGTAGTATAGTGTTTATATTAAATGCATTGGAGTGGAATGGCCATTATATTAAGTTTCTAAATAAAATTGTCAGCTCATGCTGGTGATGTAGCATTATAGAATTAAGTACTGAGTTGTTTTCATTACTGGGACCAAGTATTTGAGACACACAGTCCAGGAAAGAGGGGGGGGAATTCATAATTGCTCTACTTGCAATGGATTTATAAACCCATATATAATACTTGAAGCAAAACATGTGTTTATGGAAATGAAAGTTGTACATATTTAGTGTGCTCAGTAAAATGGGAGTTTATCATGTTATAAACTAAACACTTTATTTTTTCTTAAATTAAAACTAGAACTTTATCTAAGTAAATTAGTTTGAAATATCATATAGACATCTACACCCCAAAACCATAGGTGAAGAAGCCAAGCTAGGTGTGACCCTGTTGAATTTCTTTTACAACAGATGAACATATTTTTGTTTTGCCTCCTGTTAAGTGAATGATCTGTTGCTTCCTAGGATAGTGACAACCTCTGGTGGGATGCCTTTGCAACTGAATTTTTTGAAGATGATGCAACCTTAACCCTTTCATTTTGTTTGGAAGATGGACCAAAGCGATACAGTAAGAGACGCTTTTTTTTTTCTAATTTTAAGTCTGAGTTTCTGAACACAGTTTATACAGTTTATCTGTATGAGACAGATGCAACCCTGGCAATGACAAAGTCACTTGTGTGTATTCAGTGACTATTATGTTTCATTAAAGAATTGCATGGGTTGGGAATCCATTTTTTGTGGAATTCCTCTGAATTTTATTACATGAAAATACATTATTTCCTAGTGGAGTGAAACAAATAATAAAATATAATCTTTGTAAAATTTTTAATTAATAATTTGGCTGTGCTTGCAGCCTTTGTTAATTTGTTTTCTGCAAATGTTCAAGTGTTGAGTCTTGTGGGCAAAACTGCTCAGAGAAAGAGAATTTTGTAGTAAATTTCAGCATTGTTGCTGGAAGGGCTTCCAAATTTAAACAGGGATCAGAAAAAATAACAAATCAAAAGCTGTATCCTTGCTGATGTAGCTAAGTATTATTCTCTCAGCTGTGTGGATCTGTGCTACTTGCACACATTAGGGACCTGCCTTGGAGATTGTCTGAACAGCAGTGGGAGTCTAGAATATTCTCAATCAAGCACTAAATGAAAGCTTGAATAAAAGTGAAGCAGTGAATAAATCTGATGGCATTGGTACCCATTGCCTGCATATGCTGAGCAGCAAAAAGGGATAAAATTCATCGAACAAATTGTTTGAAGTGAATAATTCACTCAGCTTTAGCACTAAACAACAGAGAGAGAAGTAAACATTGAAAAACTGCATTGCCAATTGTTTCACTCCATTCAGAGTGACCTTTGCTTCACAATGACAGCTTGTGCTCTCTACTTAATGTTCTGAATCTTGCAAGGTTCTTCTTTTTCGTGAGAGTGACTGATTGTCAGTGTATCACTCACATACTTCTAATTCCTTTTTATCAATTATCTCAGGTATTTATTTGACAAGTGTTACCTTCTCCTGGAGAAAAAAATAACAGCCACTTTGAACGAACATTCTGGGATTAGTGTTGACAGAATTACAGTTTCTTGCCTTTCAAAGCAAGTGATAACTCTGTAAAGGTCCTCAAATTACAGCCTTTAGCAATGCTAGTAACAGCTGATCTGTCCTGATTAGGTTGAGTCAACTTGTCAGATATCAGATTTGCTAGTTGTGTTATCAGTCCAGAAGGCACAGATACATCAGCAAAAAAGCAATTAATGTCCAGTTAGATCAGAGGGAGTTGTGATTCTGGAAAACAGTGCTGCATATGAAAGAATTTGTCAAAGTGTAAAATACTCCTGTTGTCACAAATGCTTGATAATGGTTGTACTGTCTGTAACTGGGGCAGTTTGGTACAGGGTAATGCTGTAATTCTTAGCATTGTTGCAGATAAGCGTGATTGAAAGAGCAAATTACTGTAGGCATGTTTTTAAAAGCAACTAGTACACAGGATTTTTCCTCTGGTTTTAATTTCTGACCTCTGCACAAACTGTTGTTGTTTTTCGTGCTGTTTTTCTCAGCATCTGGGATTGAAACTCAGCATTTAGGGCTCTTTGCTGTTCATTCATATTTTCTTTCCTTCATTAGTAAATATTTATATAATTCTGAACCACAGTGTTAGTGATTCTTTTTGACACGTGCAGTATTCCTGTTCAGGGATACTCTAAAGAGTATATTTGTGCTGTTCCATTGCCCTCTGAGAAGGCTTTGAGAGCAGCCTTGGGAGTGCCATTCTGTCCAAATCCCTGCTTGGGGACACCTTCAGTGTTGCTTGCGGAGGGTCCAGAGAGGGGTTTGCATGATGAAAGCAGCTTTCTCTTCCTAGCTGCAAAGTTTGTGTCCAAAACCATGTCCACGAGTTGAGCACTGAGCAGTGTGCCCCACTTTGGGTGCAAACATGAGCAGAAAATTGCTCCTACCTGTAGCAGGCACTCACTGAACACAGAGACCTGACTGAGGTCTCTGTTTTGCCTGCTCAAGCCATGCTCAATGCTACATTCTGCTTTTGTGGATCCTTGTGGCATCTCTCGAAGACCATAATGTCACCCAGTACCTTTATACCAAGCAACTGGTAAAATTGCTGGCTGGGGGCTGTGGCTTCTGTTAGGTGAAGCAGAGTAGGCTGAGCAGCACCAAGTGTGGAGTTTTGAAAGAGATGAAACACAAGTGCCTGGGCCTTCATCCTTGCCATCCCCAGTGAAACACCTGCCTCCTTGCCCAGTGTGCATGTATGTTAGTATGTAGTGGGCATTAAAAATGTTGGAGCTGGCAGAGAAGGAAGAGAAAAGACAAATTGTTTGTTCTTACTCTTGCAGGCACAGACAGTAATGGAGGGAACCAAGATGAGGTCCAGGAAAAGAGAAATAGGCATTCTTTGAGAAATTGTTTATAAAGTTGAAAGTGATGAAATATATTGACCTCTTGTCTTTGCTCCAGGATTCAGCTCAAAATTGCCTGTCTTTGTCTTGCTTCAGCCTGAGAGATTTGCTTACATCTCTGACATTGGTTGTGGCTGCCACCTCATTTTCTTTCTTTGAGGCAATGGTTTCCCTCTTTTGGGAACTAAAATATTCTCTTCTGGAGCAAATTCCAGAAGAAATCTTGTGTGTGTGCATGTGTGGAAAGGACAAATAGTTTTTTGCTGTCCATAGCCATTTTTTCCTCTGGTTTATGCCAATTCCCAGTCCTCCTCCCACCTTGTTCTCATAGGGGCTATGCAGATCTTGCCTTAAGCCACCAGAGACCTGAAGGATCTTGGTGTTTTGCCCCAGGTTCCTTCTTCAAAGCCCCTGAGAGTGCTGTGGGAGGCTGCTGGGAACTTGCATATTCTCTTCTGCTCTTCTCTAATCTTGACTGCAGTTCCCAAGGCCTGCCAGGGGCTTCTTTCCCGGGCTTGCTTTAAACTTTTCCTTTCTGTGAGTTTCCTATCATAGCCTTCCTCAGCTGGCTCTCTGTGCCCTTTGCTCTTACCTGAACAGTCCAATTCCACAGCCAATGCAAATGTTTAGAGCACATGAATCAGGCCTGTAAATTGTTTGTTTAAGTGTTTGATGATTTACAATAAAAAATATTGCTTTTACTTGCCTTCCAGTTTTTTTTACTTTTAATATACAGTTCTGTCCAAGAAAGTGTTACGGGTTGTAAACTTTTTTTTTGGTCTCAGAAAATGAACTTGCTTATTTAATTCCATGGCCTAAAACTGAAGCTTTATGAAAAACACCAAATATTTTTAGGTCTGCCATTCATATTACCATGTTTTACAGCACTCCTCTCTATATGAGAAAAGTGTTTTTTTCTTGACAGTCAGCTCTGGCATTCTTTAATTTGTAGAGGAAAATAGATATGGGTCAAAATGGGGATTGAAGTCACTGGGTTATGTATACTTTGCTTCACATAAGGCAGCACTATGTAGTGATACTCAAACTGGTTTTATATGTGCCTGAATATCTGTATGGCACAACATGTAAAGATACTCACTACCTGGGAAGAGCAGAGGTTTGTTAGTTCAGTGATCCATCAGTGCTAATTAATTTGATTGCCAGGTTTGTTGAACATAGACCAGTTATCCTTGCAGAACATTATTCTGCCTTGGATAGATGTGCACTTGAAAGCCCAGTTTAACTTTTTCATGTAGAGATTCTGTGGCAGACCTGAAATAGCTTCTGTGCTCATCTTTGCAGCACTTTTTGTCTTCAGTATTTGATTTCTGTAGATGCAAGAACTTTACCTTCTGCAATTCCTTCTCCCTGGCACAGCATTCCAGAAAGCAGATACTATCTTCTTTCAAACATTCACTGAAAATGTAGGGTTTTCTTCTTCTTGCTTACACCCCTCAGCTGTTCTTTTGGTTTGCTGTTATCTGTGAGCCCCACTCACATTACTAAATTCTGTGTTGAAATTTTAATGAGAAGTGCTACAGAAAAAAAGAGATATATTTTAGTGTAACATGGGTGTAAATTATGTGTTTCTCTAGTCTGACATTTTGGCTACCATGAGAAGGAGAGAAACCTCACACATTCCAATGCCTAAAGATA